AGAGACATCGGTTGATAATCTTGAAACGATCGTAGTGAATATCGTTAAATACAGCTACAATTTTACCTAATACAAAAATAATCTTTGTTATAAACCATAATTCTGATCTGATTTTTTTCTGTGTCATTAGCATCAAAATGCAAATGTCATTTTTATAATAATAAGGCTTTCAAACAGAAAAACAGGGTACAAAGAATTTTTGTGATTATGATACCACAAATAACACTGTAAACATCTTTGTTATTATTAGAAAACATGAAGATTTTAGTTCACCTAATTTAACAACATACCGTGTTTTGCTCAGATATTCCCCACAGAAAATTTATAACCGTGGTTTCCGACGTAAATATCCTGATGAAAATACAAAGTCTTGTTCCACAATTCTTGAATTTTCCATATGCTGCTTTACAGATATACAGAGTACATTTTTAGACGTTCTTAGGCCATATTAATTGCGATTGATAAACCTGGAGATAAACCGCCGCCGCTATCACAGCTGCATTGACATTACTTTGGATTCTTTGCTTGTGATTTTTAATAATAATAATTACGCTTCGGATTTTAGGTCGTTAAAAAATGAATAAAGGGAGACATTTTTAGGTCCGAAAATTGACGAATTAGGTTATAAAAATCTTAGTTTAGATTAAAAACCTGGAGGAAAAAATATTTGCTCAACGAAAAAGCATATATCAAAAAAATATATATTTAAAAAAAAACACTAAACAAACATTATAGAAACAAATATTTTGTGTAACAAACAAAAAAATGATTAAATAAACAAGCGATCTATAGTTACGTCTACTAATTCTAAGTTATTGCACAAAAATGGCGATCAAATTAAAGCAAGTCGCATTTAACAAAAGATAAAATATTAATTCAGGTATTTAAAATGAGTTACAAAAGAAAACTATATATTTCTCTAAATTTTCGATTATAAATGTACACCTTTGATAGCTTAAGACACTTTTAAGTTTTGAAAACGTGCGTTCCACATCACAAGAAGTGGTGGGTGCAAAATTAAATATTGAACAACTTACGTTTTCATTTATGTATGTATTGTTGGTAGCATTTCCAATACCGCAAATTACGTTATTTACTGAACATATAAAATCGTATCCTGGATTCTTTTTTAATAGAGAACATAATTTTTGGAACGCCATTTCCCCCACCTTTCCTGGTGTGTTTTTTAAAGATGTATACACTTTTTCCACAATTTCCATACTTTAGTTTAATTTTAAATCTATAGTTTCTAATTTTTCTATTGCATCCGCAATAATTTTAAAATGAGTTTTAATGTACAAGAGTTCATTTTTAACGTTTGCTTTATTCAGGAATTCTTGAGCTTTTTCAATGCTTTGTGCATCTGTGGCTTCAAATGACGTTACAACCTAAAAATATGCAATATAAGAATGATAGTAAAAAGCCATTATATATTTACTGACTTGTTTTAAAACATCAAAATGTTCTGCATAAAACATTGCTGCTTGAATACAAGTGCCCCACCTGGTTAATACAGGTTCGGGTGGGAGAGGTGTATTTGGTAAACTGTTTTTATAAAACTCTACTCTTATTAGTGCTTTTAAAAAGATTTTCTTAACATTGCTAATTATCCCATTGACATCTGGATAATTCAGTCTAATTCTTTCAGACACTAATAAATGTAACCCATGTGCCATACATGCCATACCTTCAAATTAGTCCCAGTTTTGATCATGTATGAAGCACCATCTGATACAAACCATTTAACTTTTTTGTGTTCAGTTCCTTTTGGCCACAATAAAGCTGCAAATTAACAATTAAATAAATTATAATAATTTCAATGCTTAAAATTATCAATAGCACACCCAATGATTCGTTTATAAATCTCGAGATTGTGTTGCTATTAGTTTTATCAAGCTGCTTCAAAGCTAGTAGAAATGGACGGCCAGCTTCTTTAGAAGATAACTTTCCAATTATTAAATGGACGATGTATCTTCCTAATCTGTCCGTCGTCTCATCGACGCTTATCCATATATTATTATTGCCAATAGAATTTCTAATTTGTTGAATTACCTGTAAATTATAAAATTTATGTTAAAAAGTTTTTAAATAAAGTTTCTAGTGCTCACCATATCGTAATCTTTTGGTAAATATTTTTTTCTCAGAGTGCTTTCTGAGGGTAAATGCCTTCCTGTATATTTATGCGTAAAATTTTTAAACTCAGGACAACTAACTTTATTCCATGGAATATTTGCTGCGGTAAATGCCCTACATAAATCGGTGCAAAATTGCGTAAAATCATTGTCGGAACTAATGTTTAACAAAGTCTGTTTACTGAATTTATTTTTGTTCTTTTTATGTGCATTGCCACTGCAGTGTTGTTCAAAGTGTGATTTTTTTTCGCACTTAAACTAGGAAACAAAAATGTGAACATAATTCAAGCTTCAGTATTTTAAATGTTTACTTACAACTTTTCCACACACTTTGCAGAATAACTCATTGTCTTTGGTTGAAGAAGGAAATTGAAAATTAGTGTCCAAATTATTCGCTAACCATAATTTGATTTTATCTTTCATGGATGATTTTACCTTAGACATTTTGACGATTCTTTACTGTATGCACAAAAATCAAAACCGGCCCCAGCACACTCACTAACACGCAAAGACACTCAGTATCACTAACAATAAACTTCTAAAATAAAATGCTTTTTCAGAGATTCACCTTCTTCCGGCTATAATCTAAACGAAATGCAGGCCAGCGTTGTCAATTGGCGACGCCAACCCGTACCATTAAACTCAAGGGCGTTGTTTACAACCCATTTTTAAACAATCTGCCAGCCAAAACAATGATTTCACGGAAAATCTTTGTTGTGCAAGTACGTCCGCTTCGTTGGTCGTGGAATCCTATTTTAAGTCTTTTAAAATTTACAATTAGGTCGTTTAGTTAACAATTTAGGTCTCTAATGGTAAATTAGGCATTTTAGGTAGTAATAAATGGGCGTTAAATAAACAGAATTTTTTAAATTCGGATAAATATATAAATTTCGCTGCAATGTCTGAAGTAGATATAAAAAAGCAAAAAACCTAAGATCCGAACCCTAATAATAATTAATATGCCCCTGTATGTTATGCACCGGGTTTTGATACGAAGTACAATACTTTCACCCTTGATGAATTTAAAAAGATTTTCTAAACCACTTTAGTTTTCCTTCATATTCATTTAAAACGTTCAAGTAAAACGAGAACAAAATTCGAAACAATCGATATTAATTTTTTTAATCACCAGTGGAAATAGCATTTATCATTATACAACAAAGCTGTTCAGTTAAAATTTTAATATGAAGAAAATTAAGTAGTATTGTCCTAAAATTACTGCTATTTAGTATACCTAAGGTAAATCGTTCCAAGAACGAAAATACTAAATAACATAGGAGGTGCTCAAATAGATCGTTTACTTTTGAAAATCAACTTAATATGTCACAGAAAATTCTTCTTGTTAGGCTAACTGTTGGTAGATTATCTGATTTGATTTTTCAATTATTATAGGAGCTTTCAATTCTTCCAAATCTTTTAGGTTCTACAGGGTATTTATGTGTTTCTTAGGCACGCTTCACATAACCATGACCGGTTTATTTGTTAAAATGTTCATTCTTCGCAAATAGGGGTGTAGAAATGCTAAAATGATAAAACCAATTTTTCTGAGCCACCTGTACCTGATAAGCACAGTCGGTCATACAAATAACCCTAATAAAGGAATGCATTTGGAATTAAATATGCTTACATTGTCAACCTGTCTAATGATTTGGGGACACCATGTCTAAATATACTCGGATTCTCGGGCAAAATAAGCAAGACGACTATCATTTTTACTAGCGATTTCTCCACTGTTGGTCCAATTAATTTTTCAATAGATTTAAATGAATGACATCGCCTAACTGACGATATTACTGTGTCAAACCAAACTTGGATACGATCCATAAAATTTCTACCATTATTTGTATGCTCCATGGTCTTTTGTCATGTAACAATATATCATCAACAGTTTTGTGCTTGACTGATATATTCGTCATAATAGCCAGAACCGTTAACCAATTAATGTCAACAACTATTTTATTTACCTTGTTTTGAAAGTCTAAAGTTATAACAAATTTAGTACTTCTAAATATGAAAATGGAAGAATTAGGGTACCCAGTAGGTATTAATTGTCAGATATCCCAAATCTTTCCTGGAAATTTTCTCTTTTTACAGACTTCTTAGACTTGGGGTTGAAAACATCGGAAGTTAGTTGCCCCGCAGGCTGTAAGACTTATTCAAACTCTGGAGAGTCGAAAAGTTGTTTGAATTTTTTTTTCGCTGCAAATTTACAGTCTCCAAATTTCTTTAGTTTTTTATGTATTCCACCAACATATTTGGTAATGGAATAGCTCCTAAGACTAGTGACCCGTATAACTCATAAAGTGTTCCACTTTTAAAAACTCTTTTTTTTTCGTGGAACGTCTCCGAGATTATGACTATGAATGCCTACAAACTACCGAGTGTTTTCACCATTGCTATAATCCAAGAACAGACTGGGTCCGTCAGAGGATCATAATTATACAGATTTTCCAAATAAATCATTACCCTCGAAGAGCATATCATCTTCGATGATTATGATTAATGATTACAAAATTTTGATACGATTTATAATACAGCTATTTTCTTCTGATGTTATCATGCCAATTGTTCTTTTTAATATTATCCAGAACTAGTTTAGCAAGGTCTTCACGGAGACAAGCACCAAAAATCCCAAACAATGAAATACATTTTTCCAACAAAAAGTCGGTATCTGGGGCCTTAAAAAAATTTAGTTATTTGTTCCTCTGTCAAAACTGCAGCCTATTTTGGTTTGTAGTGTTCAGATTTTCTCTTAATAAAAGTAAATATTTTCAGAAAAAAAAGTTGAGATCATGACAGTTTATCATATTTTGACATTTACCTGGAAATATCTTCCTTTTCATTTAATTTTAATAGCTGTTTTTTCAGTAAGAGGCAAAAGCGAAATATTTGATCATGAGACATGAAAGTTGCCCGACGAGGCGTTAACCACGAAGAGGCAAGACGTCGGGTGATAATCAACACTTTTCCCTCGCACTGAGTATAAGATGTTTTCTAATTAAGTCAGAACTTCCCTTCTCCTGTCAAACAAAATTTTGACTTCCCAGTGTTATAGGGTTTTTCTAGCGTTAGAGTCATATCAAACAATGAATGACCCCAATGACGATGTGCCACCCGACATCAAAAACGCCGGAAAGGTAGAAGGAACTGTATAAAATGGCCTGCAAACGATACGAAAATTAGTGTGAGCTCAAGAAGGTCAAAATCACATCACAGAAACCAGTTCTTGCATATTTTTACGAAAGAGCAAAGATCCAAAAAGCATCCACAATTTGAAGGCTGTTGGGATCAAAAATGGAAATAAAGCAAAATGTGGATATATAAACACTGAAGATCGAAATTTTCACAATCGGTGAAGGTACCTAATGTTGAACGAATTAATGTCAGCACCCCAAAACTGTCAAAATGCAATTGCTTCTTTTTGAGATATAGAAATAGAAAGTGTTCCAATCAACCTATGGATATTAACACACTGATGGGGATGTTCCAGAAATAAATTGCAAAATTTCATAGTTCAGAAAATCCGGAAAATACAGATGTCACTTTTTCCGAAGATCGTCTGCATTGTTACTGGCAGAGGGTCATGCAGATTTATTACCACTGAAAAGATATGGTGAATGGAAATCCAGTAGCGGCACTGAAAGTTACGTTGCGAAGTCAACAGCAACTAAAAAATATGTATCTATGAAAACTGTAACAGATATTAATATGAAAATATCAACATCCGCTTTTTATCTAGAATTAGTGGCGCTAAATTTAAAATTGTATCACTAATATCTGCAATAAATGAAATTCAACAAATATTACCAGGAAGAAAAATGTTGTTATTCCTTTTCATATTTAACTTAGGTAACTTTCTCTTTAGTTGTCTCAGAAACGGTCGATCCGATTTTGTTGAAACTTTGGAAATATTTTAGATATAATGTTTACTTTTTCTGATCAAATGTAAATGCTTGCTCATCCCCTTCAAAAAGTTGATAACATATTACATTAATTCCTGCTGCATAATATGTGGCAGTCGTAGTCTTTCGGTGGTAAAGGAACTGTAAATAAACGGAAGTTTTGTTTTACAAAAGCTCTCCCACTTCAGCCTTACAACAGTATTGGTGGAGCCATCTCTTGGGAACCCTCCAGAAGCTTTTACAGAGTGACTATAACGTGAAAGCCGTGGTGCTTTCATTACCATTTAATCAATAAAACAACAATACTCACACAACACACAGTGGAACAATCAATTAAACATTCCTAAACCATCTAAATAACACCTCGACCTTCACCCACTCCCCGCCGCAACCTTCACCTTCGTACAGATCGTTATCCGCTCCGGGTTGACGACCGGCCCATTCGGCCTATTATCCGCAAGATGTCGTCCCATTCCCAGAACCATAAAATCGAAAAACCAGCTGTTTTAGGAGGGGCAAATGGGCAGTTGTGCATCTGAAACTGTCAGTGCACGAGCATAGTACGGCATGAAAGGGTAGTGAACGCGCTGAAAGTGTTAGTGTTTGTGTCATTAAACAACAGGGGTTGGCTACTGAAAACACCTCCTTGGGCATCACTAAGGTAAAATCCATCATTCCATACAGAAACCGTTCGCACTTTCTGTTATGATTTCGCCAAAACACACACATGTGTATGCAACAACTTTGAAGCCGGTTTGTATTTTTTATGTTCCGCAATTGTTCGCTCCGTCCTTGTCGCACGCGCATCATCCCTTTGTGCAGGGGGTGCTTTCGGCGAAATTAAGATTTTCAAACTGCGGTGTAACGGAAAAGAATTTTTTAATATTGTTTTATGGACGCGGCTACCCCTAACGTAAATTTTGTTACGGTGATTTAGTTGGATTTTTATTGTGGATTTTTGGATTTATTGGCGAGCAACGTGGGGAAAATCGATTCATAAATTGCTGCAATCCATGCGAACTATGGCCTAGGGTAAAGGAGGGTAAAACTGTAGAATTTTTGGTTGGGGCCTGGGGGTGTTTGAATGAATGTTTAATTCTCGGAGGGATGCCTGCATACATTTATGGGTGCGGGTAGTGTGTGTTGTCTTAATTAAAAGCAACGTGGTCGGTTTGTTTTTGCGGCGAAATATTTCGAGCTTTTGGTAAAAGCGGGCTGGATTTTCAAAACACTTGCGCTCAGATTGGAGTTGCGCGGCATAAACATGTGAGTTATTTTGAAATTTTAAATTGTTAATGTACAATTGAAAACATATATCAAAGTTTAATGATATTTCTAGGTCTTCTTTTCTTATTTTGGCTATGGTTCTGACATTTGCAATTTCAATCTTTGCCAAGGGGGTGTAAATGCCTACATAAAAATACTCGAAAAATGTTTTTCATTGTGAAATAAACTAATTACGATGTATACAACTTGTTACCCACACCTACAACATCAAGAAATTTTATGACAATATTGATTTGTTTTACCCACTAAATTAATTCTATCAAAGGACAGATATCAAAAAATATCGACATTTTTTACAATTTTTTTTCATGTTGAGGGTGTGTGTAACGTGTTGTTCAAGTTGAAAAATGCCAATTATAACATTATAGAGAAGTAGTAACCTCAACAGTTGCAAAAAATAACCTTACGTAATAATTTGGAAGCTTAATTTTCCACTAATTATTGTCTACATTTGTAGCTTTCACGGCAGCACGCCAATACGTCAATTGTGCCCGTGGAACTATGCTGTTGGTAGTGTAGGGCTTTCACAAATGTTTCTTACATCCAGTGACCTGTAAAATGTAAATATGTTATAGATTTGCCATTTATTAGTAATGGTTGACATTTTACAAATTTTAATTAATGTGGTTAATACGTCATCTGTCACAATAATTGTGACATTTGAATTGTCGTTGCCATTATAGTTCACACTCCAAAAGAGGTGGAACAAATTGCATGTTCGATCATTTATGATGATTATGATTTATGATTTCTGTTTTATTAATAATCCATACTTATTCGCAAGATTATCGTTTTTGTGGTATCTTTTCTATTGCTTGTTTTTTTTAGCTCGAAATTCTCCATGAAGATAAATGTGGAAGCTGTAAATTATATTCCGGCCACAATATATTCAGAATTTAGATTTAAGGTTGAAATTTGTTTTTATGATCACTTATAAATATTTTATACTATTTGACAGATGTTTCGTTGTTTTATATTTTTACGACAATTTATGTTGTTATTCTTTCTTTTATAAAATAAATAAATATATAAATGAATAATTCTTTCTATTTTATCATTTTTAGTTCTCGACTGAAAGCTAGGCGAAGTAATACTCGTGGAATACGAGAATGCAAATTTTCTGTTTCCATTTGACAGACAGTCTAGCGGTTGGAAATTTTGTGAAAAGTCCAAATTCCATTGTAACGATTAATATGAAATTTTAAGTGTAACTAAACTGTGAAAATCAAAATTTTCCGATTTATTAAACAATTGATAACGTTATTCCAAAATTGTTGGATTCTACGAGTGATCTTTCTTGTTGTAACCCCGAATTTTTCTAAAACCCTGCGCATACAAAGCTAAAATTAAGACCGAATTAATAAATCACTGAATATACAAAGACTTATTAATTTAGCTAAATTTTGAAGTGTGGTCAACAATTTCACAACAATTGTCCGCTATTTTCGGAAATTACTTGCCTGTATCTAACAAACGGTAGATTGATAGACAGAGGGAAATTGGAGATGGCCTACAAGCTTTCAAACGTTGAAAAAAATATGAAATTAGTTATTCATGAAATGGATATCGTATATATTATACAACTTAAAACTTTCTGAAATTTCGCAATGATTTATTTAACAAACACTCTACCATTTTTTTGTATTCTTTATAGAAAGCCAATGATGTATCACATAGAAGTTATTAAACAATTTTTTTTTTAAATATACCCCCAGCTTCGAAATCGTCTGCACTTTCACAGTATGACTTTTATCTAATAAAACTGCTAATACAGGGTAACAGTAAGGATCGATTTTTTCTCGGATTAAGTTTAACTCATCTCTCCAAAATTCTGGGGTTATACAAAAGTAATGGTTAGTGTTACACTCACTGAACTATTATACAAAATTAATATGTTTATTTTTATCAAAAAGTAGAGCACTTCAATTGAAAATTATATTAAAGAATCATCAGATCATTCAACGGAGTTTCTTAATTTTAGGCATTATCTCATTATGCTGTTATGTGTTAGAAACGCATGGGTTACTAATTTTCATGTCCAAAATTGCAAACAATAGCCAGTCAATTAAATTATTAAATTAGAATAAAGTTGCGCTATTTTGTAAGGGTGCTTCAATTACCTCCAGGTTTTTTCGTGGAACTCATATTGCCCTTAAAATAAGAGAAATATTTTGATGTATTGTTGGTTTCGCTGGCGGTGAACACAATTTTTGTTTATTTTTTTACAAAGTGATTTTCTTGTTTACTTTTTTGTAATTTAGTGTTATCATATTTGAAAAAATTACTTTCACATACTTGATTGATTAAAGGCACTAAACAAACACAGTTTGCTCTCTCAGAGTTAAATTGAAACAATGACTTAAAATAAAACACTATTAGTTTCTTTATAATTGCCCCCCGGCCGTAGTTTTACAGTGGAAACCCAGCTGGTATTATTTCTTGTACATTTCAAAGTAGAAGCAGGCCTTAAGGCCTGTTAGTTACACACCATTTATCAGACTTACACCACCGTTGGTGTTATTTTTCATCTGTAGTATTTAATTTTTTCGGAAAGGCGGCACAGTTCGTGTGCGGTAGGCTTTTACAGAGAGCGGCAACCTATGTATTACGATCAAAATAACTGTCTACTTGTAACTTTCTATTTTTTTTTTTTTTTTGTTTTACTTCCCGAGCGTAAGC